ATTCTAATTTTGTATACACTAAAACAGCCTGCTTGTTGTCTTTGATTATAACTAGATCAAACTCATTACATAATCAAACTTATAAACTATTTATTGATTTAAGGAGTCTAGTTTTTGTTGATGCTATTTATTGGCATCTTGAATTTTTATTGGAAGAATTGTTAAATTTATCCAAATTATTATAATTTTTTTAAAAATCACATTCTAGAAAATGTTAACATTCCCTTCAAATTCTGATAGTCAGTGATTCTTTAGCAAAAATTGTCTTTGACTTTTGTCACATTTAGTCAACAGTGAAGGTGAGAATGATAGGTTTACACAAATGCCTGCCTAATGCCAGCACCTGCTATGGAAAGCAGGACAGGTGAGCAGGAGCGGCAGGGGCTGTGGCCAGTGTCCACACAGCTAGAAGGAGCGGCATTGATGAGTCTCTGCGCCTCCTGTTTCCTTCTGCAGTTCAATCTGACCAGTCCCTTGGATTATTATAAGAATTACATACATAGTTTTATTCCCATTCCATGGATTGAGAACAACTAAATTTTAGGCAAACACTGTTAGAGAGCACACTAATATTAAATGCCTTATTAATTCCATCTTTAAATCCTGGCATATTGTAGCTTCTTATAGTGTGTTCCCCTGTGTAATAAATATGCAACTTAAAATCCCTCCATTATCCCCTGAAATCATTCACAAGCATGTATTATTGCGTGCGGAAAACCTTCTTTAACTGGAGGACCAAAGACAGGTTTCTCTTCAGCCCTGGAGTAAGATGCCCCTAAACTCTTCTTTCATGATTAGTGCTTTGGTTTTATCACCATGGATAATGGCCCTTTTTCTGTCTAGTTTTCAGTATAGAATTAAGAGCACTGGCTTTGGAGTGAGACAAATCTGGCTCTGTATCTTAGCCTTCACATTTAAAATATGAATGAACTCTCTGAACTCATTTTCCTCATTTGTAAAATAGGATCACTAAACGGATCTACTTCATAGAGCTGTTTTGAGTATTAATTAAGATGATACGGACACAGCCTCTAGTACATAGCAAATATTACATAAGTTTGGATTTTGCTATATTTTATCACCATGGTTGTGATTATCCTATCATCTTCATAGGTAGTTAGTGGCCTAAAAGTATCACTTGGAATCATCTACTTCTTTGCGTTAGAAAACTACCCTCTCTTCATAGGGCTTGTTGTCCTCTAGGGGACAGTCCTGGTTTCTCACATTGCCCTCTGCAAGCAGTTAGGGAGGACCACTCCAACACGCACTACTTTTCAAGCCTCTGCTCCATCAATTTGCTAATGTCCCATTGGCCAAAGCAAGTCACATGGCCAACGCCTCAATGACAGGCAGAGGAAGTGTACTCCGCCTCTTCAAGAGGGAGGCTGCTAAATATCATGGCCACTTTTTTTGTCAGTTACCACAAATACTAAGCAATACGTAGATTCCTGTGATCTTGAGGGGAAAAAAAAAACTTCTTTTTGTTGATAATAAAGTTTTGCTTAAATAAGCATTTATTCATTTCTAAGCCCTGAGAGGTGACTTAGAAAGGTATTCTTACTCCCATTTATAGGTGAAAATATATGACATTTGAAAAGTTTAAATGCCATGCCTGAATCAGCTTGGACTAGATTTTAAAGGCTTCTGCTTGAAGTAAGAGTTCTTCCTACACCACTAGACTTGGCTCATGCAAAGACTCTGTTTTTAAATTTGTGACAGTTTGGTAGCACTACTTTGTTTTTCATTATGTACCAGTGGTCATTCGTTTCCCAGCGAGCTTGACCCTTGTGCTTAAGTCTTAAGACATAGGAACAATCCATATACAATATAGAAGATATCCTTCTCTTATAACTTCGTAATCTAATTCTAGGCTCAGTTGTTGTGTTTGTCTTTTGTAGAACATCGTAACCCATCTTTTTTGAAGAGCCATATTGTGAGAGGGTAGATTGCTTGTTAAATAGTTAAATGAGTTCATCGTAAGTGGCTCCCTTTCAATTTCACTAAATAATTTACTGCTGTCCTTGCCCTAGACTAGAAATCTGGATAAACAGTAGCCCTGAAGCCCTGATAAATTATATGGTCACTTACAAAATCATGTAAGATCAAGGTCAAGGTTCTATTTTAGAGCTACATAGCCATGACCCACAGTGGCTCCATAACTGTGTTTGGGAACAGTGCAATTTAAACCAAAAATTGAGGTTGCTCACATTCCTGCCATCCTACCCTTGTTATTTATTTTTTGGTTGAGAAGATTAATCATAATGTTTATTTGTATTACACTTTATAACTTTCACACCATTTAATTATCACAAAAGGCTGAGATATATAATAATACTGTTATAAAATCTGTATCTCATTTATAGATGAGAAAACTTGGCTCCAAAGATAGATTACTTTTCTGAGATCACACAGCCAGAAATGAATGAAGCCCAAACTGAACATGCCCTCCCACACTCACCACCATTTTTCTGACTCAGTGCACATGATTTCTTTGTCATATTGCCTCAGTTTACCTTTGCAAAGTGATGGAGAACGTGCTCTTTTCATGCCTATCTCCAATACTATTTATTTTGGCTTTAATTATATACTGAATAACACTGTTATTTAATGGTTTCATAAGTTTTTATTTTCTTAATGATGGGGTAAGCTTTTTTTAAGCACTCCCTCCTGCCCCCAGCCCCCACCTTCACTTGGGTGATTCTTCCCCATCGTTCCGTTCACTGTCCTGTGGCACCCTAGGAGTCAGGCAGCAAATCACTTGTAGAACCAGACTGACTGCTCACTTGGAGTGACGGGAACTGTCAGGCTGAGTGGGACATTGATTGGTATTTTACTGCCTGGTGTACTTGCCTCTTTAACCGAAGCAGCTGTCAAGGCCAGGCTGCCCACAGAAACTTTCAGGTTTGTTTTTGCCCCTGCTATTTATGCTTCCCTAAAGTACATCTGCTCACATCCTACCATCATCCACATTTATTAGGCCCCACGTGGTGAGTTTAAAATAGCTGATATGCACCGTAGTAAGACATTTGAGGCATATTACAGGGACCTTTCAACAAGCCGAAGGTCTGTGAAGGTCATCATCTCCCGAGGCCTGTGGTGAAGATGTAGGCAGCTTTTGATGGCTGCAGGGAAGAACTCCTTGGTCAGCAGACAGCCAGCCCCTCCCTCAGCCACCATCCCCACCTGCACTCCCCTGCGCTGGGAGGGCCGCAGGCGTCCCCTTGGCTCAGCATCTCAACCCTGTGTTCTATTCTGAGGTTACCTCCTTTTCAACTTAGTGAAGCCACGTGGTGTGTAACCCACTCAGTTTTCCTAGGTTTGCACATCTCCATTGTTTTTTTATTGAACTTAGTTTTGTGTGGTTAGGAAATGTCAGCATTTCACCACTCTCCTCATCTTATTCTTACCAGTTCCTTTCAAGCATCGCTGACACTGCTGTGTGTGCTCGGGCTCTTCATAGGTATTCATTCTTCTATTCACATTTATTCACAGGCACTTTGCTGGGTGCGGGGGATGTTACAGAAAGCAAAAGATTCCTGTGTTTAGAGTTGTTACGGACTGGTAGGGAAGAGATGTGGAATGATTAGACAGCTAAGTGGGGGTTGCAGCTCTGGTTAGAGGTGCTACAATGGACAAGAGACACATGATGATCTGCAGGGCTCAACTCCAATCAGGCAGGTCAGAGTCCCGGGGAAGGGATTCGGGAACTGAGGTCTGAAGGCAGAAGAAAGCTTATAGTTCATGGAGAAGAGAGTCAGGTAAATGGGAAGTTATGACACAACTGACCCATACGTCCACCTGGTTCCAGCAAATATGGCACAGGTGTCAAGAAGTGCAGGGGTGAGCAAGTATAGTGGGGGAGGACTTGACTTTGCCTGGGAGAATTCAGGGAGATGTCCCTGAGGAGTGTCCATTAAGTTCAATCAAAAACAATGAGTAGAAATTTTGTGAATAAGAGGGAGTGGACAAAGACATCACATGAGACTGCAGAATGGCCCAGCAATATGGAGAGGCAGGAGGGAGGCCAAGCAAGTGGAGGGGACAAGGAGCAGGTAGGAACGCACTGTGAGTGGTCTTTTGGGTCATGGCAACATCTTCCACTTGGGCATAATCATTCCCACTGCTGCATCTGAGATGGCTTTCCTGGGATAAAATTTTTTTCCACCAACCTCAAAAATAAAATACTATTTTCTAGTCCAACTGATATGAACAGAGGAAAATAAAATGAAGGGAGAACACACACACTCTTTATCAATGGTGCCAGGGTGGGGCAGGGGTGGCGGGGGGAGTGTCCGAAAATGACCCGAGTTAGTGGACTCCCAGCTGAAGCTTGGAACAAATGCAGCCTGAACAAGGACACTTAGGAGAGTTAGGTCTTTTCATATCTGTGGCACTGGCACGTTTCCCCTTTCTCTTCATGTTTAGTTTCCTGAAGGTGAGGCGGTTACTCCTGCTTTGTGAACTTCCTCAGATCTAGGGAACTTACCCTCACTCCCTTTCTCATCTGACTTTCATCGTCTTCAGTCAAGCACTTCAGTCAAAGTAGGCTTCAAAGAATGTGACCTTAAATTTTAAATTTTAAATATGAGTCTATGTATTTTTTCACTTTCCTTAATCGTTTCTATACCAGACAAGATCAGTAATAGGTATTTGATGGACATGGTTCCCAGAAGCCTAAGTGAATTTTATTTCAATAGCCTACTTCGATCTTTTCCAGGTGAAGGAATGAAGTGTTTTATTTTTCCCCCCAGCAAACCTGCTATGCCTGTTTGCAATACAAACAGAAGACCTTGGATTGCCAATGTGTCTGTTGTCTCACAAATTTTCTTTTTTTTACTGTCAAGAAAAAAGTCAAGTTATACAATAATTATGCTTGGTTATCACCATAGGGAAAAACAAAACAAAGAATTTATTATGTAGTGGATACAGATGGTGATGAAGAAATAGAATTCTACTAAGGCATGGATTATCATGACCGAATATTTATTATTCTAATACAGGATGAAGAGGAAGAAATCAAGCAAGAAATTAACATGTTGAAAAAGTATTCTCATCACCGGAATATTGCTACATACTATGGTGCTTTTATTAAAAAGAACCCACCCGGCATGGATGACCAACTTTGGGTATGTACTGCTCTCCAAATTTACCTTTTTACATGAAGAACAAGCAAGACTAAATGGTCCATTCCCCTGTCCTCATCACTAAATTTGATTAAGGAACTCCTTAGAAACCCTTAGCCCCATGATGTCTACAACATTGTGTTTTCAAAGGTTTCTCCCATTTCCTTGAATACTTCTCTTTTTAACATCTCTGCTTTCTAAATCTTAGTGTGGACCATCCTTAAAACCAGTTAAGTTCTCTGTTTTTTTTTTCCTACTAATGATTAATTATATATTGAGTTTTTATTATATTTCAGGCATCATTCTATTTTTTCTAGATTATATTATTTATTCTGGCTTTTTGAAGTAGACATTACCATTATTCTCATTTTCTAATTGACTACCCTACTAGTAATAAGTTCAGTATGTCTGACAGCAGAACCACTACTCCAATCCCCGCCCTGCCCAGCGCAGATTGCACTTCTCACTTTCCTGATTTCTGCCATTGGAAGTTTTTGTTACTTTGTTCTGTGGAAATGCTGTAGTACTGTCTTGGTTTGACCTTCATCTGTCAATTTTATTACAACCCATTACTAGAGGCCCATTCATTCAGTGGCAGCCTGGGTGTCTCTCTCTACTTTATACCTCTCTCTCTCTCTCTCTCTCTCTCTCTCTCTCTCTCTCTCTCTCTCTCACACACACACACACACACACACACACACACCCCGCCCCCCGTTCATCTCATATGTTGCTCTTAGATTAAGAGCTACTAACATACCCTTTTAACTGTTTATTACCTTGCTCATTTTTCAGAAGTCTTAATATGTGTCTGATACACAAAATTCACGGAATTACCCAGTGCTTACTATATACCAAATTATTTATTAAACTATGTATATCCAGTTACTGCTATTTCATAGATAACTTGTTATGGAACTCAGTCTTGAGTGGAAGTTACTCTCCTAATGCATATGGCACTTATAGTCCAGGTGAGGAGACAAAACATACACAGTGAACACAAATGGTGATCAGAAAGATGTAATAATGTTTGTTGGCTCAGAAAAATAAGATTTCCATGTCATTTAATATTGAATACTACAGTCTTTGGAAGTGGAAAGATCTGCTGGGAATTTTTTCCCCTATCATCTCTAAATTTAAAATTAAAAATGTACTTTGGGGTAAGTAAACTCGCTTTGTATGATCACATTGATTTTATGTGTTTTCATATGATTTCTGAAAGAGTTACAGTAAGATTTTAACTGTGGTCTCTTAAATGTATGTTAGATGTAAATGTGACAATTAAAATATAAAAATCATAGAAGAAAATAAATATGACTCTGTAATACTGAAGAGATATATAAAATTTTTATTGTAAAAACATAATAAACAAAGTAAAAATGCAAATAGCTAATTTAGGGAAAACATTCATCTGTGATGAGAAAGAATTTAGCTTTTAGAGGTAAAGAGTTTTTATAAATCAATAGGAAAAATTTGAAACTACTAATATATTGAGTTAATCTATTGTTAACAAGGCAGCATTTGTGAACTGGATGTAAAAAGTAGCAATTACCAATTAAAGTTTTTAAAAATGTAACCTTACTTAAAATATAAATGCAAAAGTAGATGGGAATTAGATACCACCTCTTACCTAGTAGAATGAGAAAGGTTTTTTTAAGTGATATATCCAGAATGGACATGCATACCCCCCACTTGTGGAAACGCTCTTTACTCAAATGTAATTGAAATATATACAGATACACACACAAGGAGATACACTGTATATATCTCCCCAAGAATGTGCTTTTACTTTAAAATGACCCAGTAATAAATATTTGGGCAACTCCCAAGAGATGTATGTAGAAGAGAACCAATAAAGAACTGCTTAAGTAAATTCATTAAGGGATGCTATTCAGCCAGTTAAAATCACATAGATCTGAATGAGCGTTAATAATTATAGTGGGATTTTTAAAGTTATTTTTAGAGCCTATGATTAAATATCATGTTTTCATTGTGGTCAAAAAAGAAAGGAAGAGATGTCTAGAATAATATACACCAGTGGTGTTGAAGATATTTGTATCTCAGTAGTAATTTCAGTAATTTAATTTCTAAAACATTTTTCTTTGTCGTGTTGGCATTTTTATCCCCTAAACTTTCTTTTAAATTCTAAAATCGGAGCCACTTCTGCCATTCCTTCTTTTTTATGTTGCTTTTCATGGAGCCGTCTTTGCCCCTCAGGCAGACAGTGCTCTGAGGACAAGGACTAGGTCTTCTGTATCTCGGTGCGCCCTCTGCGCCAGGAAGAGTTTTGGGGCATGCGATGCTGACAAAATAGTTGTTTTGTGAAGGAAAGTGATATTATTGGGACAGGCGTGGTTGTTGTTCTTCTTCTTATTATTATTGGTACCAATCTGAGTGCTTCAGGTACTTTTGAGAGTTCAAAATATCCTGCAGGTTCAACAGGATACGATGAGGTGGCACAAACTGGAAGAGCTGCTGGCGACAGGTGGAGAGTGATACCTGTTTTAATGCTGTCTGTAGAAGAGGTTTTGTTTGGTCAGGACTACAGTCCCAAATGAAAAGAAAGCATTAATACAGCTTTGGAATCATGTCCCTGTCTATCACCTGAGGTAGTACAAGTATTTCTGGACGAGGTGTATCTAGCTATTGATATAATTTCTGTTGTGAGATGGGTCAAATAGGATAGGATAATTGGTTTTCTGTTTAGGTTGAACTGTTAAAGTGTGGGTACCATTTATAAATTGTTGGTTGAGAGAAGAGGAGAATCGTCAAGCGGGCTTGACTTGTTTCCACCTTTTTCTTAATGCTGAGATTTTCAAAGTTGGAAAGCAAATTAGCGGTCACTTGTTCTGCTGGATCCCAGTCAAGTTCATTGCCTTTCCCAAGATCTCAAAGCATATTTATGGAGGGATGCAGCACCAAAATGCACACATCCTGCCACGTGAAGATTTAGCTTGGCCTGAAGTTCTGTGAAAGACAATGAACTGTTTTTTTTTTTTAATGAACAAAGTCTTCATTCCCTTTTCATATGATACTTGGGGAAAGCAGGAAACCTGTTTGCTTCTACGGGGCTCAAAGAGGAGGTTTTGTACTCTGGAAATGAGATGTTGCCTGCCAGTTCTCACTTTAGCCAGTTGGTTATTGGGATCCAAGAGCCTACGAGTGTATGTGTTCATTTATTCATTCATCCAGCAAATACGTAGGTATATCAAATACTTGCTAGCTATATTTCTAGGCACTAAGGATATATCAGTGAACAAAACTGAAGAAAGCCCTGACTTTTGTGCCACTTATATTCTTAAAACAGACCACAATAAAAACAATAAATTTAATGTGCAAGGAAAGGATAGGAGCTGCTGAAAGCTAGACATTCCCGGAAGGGCAGGGAGGTGTTAACGGGAATGCAGCTAAGGGATGCAGTGATGGGTACAGTGGCCAGGTGATTCCTGTGGAAGGTGTGAGAGATGAGGCCTGAGGCCAGATCCTGCGGACCTTCTAGGCCCTGGGAAAGGCCTCTGCTTTTACTCGGAGTGAGGGGGCGGTGCTGGGGTGGGAGGGCATTGGAGGGTTTTGAGGGGGAAGAATGGGATTTGATCCACAGAGTGAAGGGGTCCTTCTGGTGGCTGGGTTGTGGCTAGAATGAATGGTGGCTGGGTACAAGCAGGAAGACCAGTTAGGAGACTATTTGAGCAATCCCCTTCCTGACATTGGCAAATGGGCTTCAGTAAGTAGTGATCGCTTCCAAAACAAGGTCACAGGGAGAGAAGCCCTTCCTTCACTTTGCATTTTCCTACCTGTAATTAAAGGCAGGGGGCAAAATGTGGCTGTTATAGGCCCCCCCATTCTGCTTGGAAGACAGAGGGCCTAGCGTTTCTCAGATTTGCGCCTGTGCACCGGATTGCTCTGACCATCCCCACTAGCCTTTATGTCTCTGGGGGTAAAAACACAAAGCTATGAAATGCCACATGAGGGTGAGAGTATCATTTCTTTTTCCTAGTTACACTTCTTCTATTTGATGACAAACTAAGGGTGCACTTGGAAAAGTAAAGGCAAACAGAAGCATAATAATTGGGAAATTAATACCACATTACAGTATTTGTGGGAACTTGGTTATAGAATGTAATAGTGTATATTTATTCTAAGACCTCTGACTCACTAAATTTGGGCTGTTTTGTGTTAGTAATAACAATAGCAAGTAAAATTTATCACCTGCTTATCATGTGCCAAATACTACATTTGTTTGCATTGTCATATTATTTCACTAGGCCTTTACAGCCATTCTACAAATTAGATATTATCATGACCCCTACTTTACAGATGATGAAATTAGGCTCAGAGAAGTCGAGAAATTTGCCCCAGGTCTCATAGCCACTGTGATGAAGCTGACCCTTTGCTGCCTAATGCTGGAGTCAAGCCCCTGCACCCTATACTCTTCTCATTTTCATTGTGAAAAATAGTTTCCAGATCAAGTATTGGTGTTCCAAATAGGATTGAAGCTTTGTATTTCAATAAGTTCATTCTGACTTTACCTTTCACCTCCATTCATCAGCTTCCCCAGCTTTCAAAGAGGATAGCAAGACCTGTTAGCTGCTCATAAGTCTGGTGTGAAGTCTAGGAAATACCCTTTGAAAAGTACATTAAACCTTTTGGGATTGTTTTAGCAAATAATTGCAAAGGTCACAGAGAGTTGACTCTTTGGCCTAATGGCTTTCTGTTAGAATTACATTGATATAAAATATTACTGTGGGTTGTATAGAGACATAAACTGTAACAGCCAAGAGAACAGCACTTGCTAACATGTTTCCCTAGCATTCAGACTACAGAAAATATTTCCCAGCTACTTTTTCTGCTGTGGCTGGAAGACAGAGCTCTGCACATCACCCACCAGCCAATATATGTGCTGTTTCAGGTGTCTGATTGAATTATAATCGTTGTGAATTCTATCAGTCTTGTCGTAGAGATAAACTCTTGTTTAGTACCAGCTCTTTGTGGAAATACAACTACTT